TTTTCCTTCGTGGGAGGGGAGGCGACCACGTGCCCTATCCGTCATTGGCGCCAGAGGTCTCCGGTCGTGGCGAGGCGAGGTGTGGTGAATGCGACGCGCCTATTAGTACCCAAAGAACAAGACCAGACGCCTAACGTTGTTCCTCATGTGAATCCCTAGGTATGGCCCGTCACGGGACACGAGTTATATCGGGCGTGCTTGATCACCCACAGTGTTAGAGCTTTGACCTGAGCCCATTCGCTTGACCTAGAGTGGTTGGCGGCGGAGGTCTCGTCGGGCGAGAGATCCCCGAGGCTCGGTCGAGGCGAGAGCCTCATGCGACCCTCTCGAGGCAGAGGTCGATCCTCGAGGGCGAGGTGAGGCAGCCCCTCGTGAGGTGAGCCCGAGCCTCAGCCTCAGAGGAGGCTCAGGTCGAAGCGAGACCGAGCCCACGGTCTCGGTGTTGAGGCGAGGAGGCCCGCCCTGAGGGAGGCGGAGGAGAGTGAGGCCGGCTTGCCGCTCGAGGTCGGGGAGGCGGCGAGACGAAGGTCATGGCCTCGGGTCAAGGAGCTGCCTCGGAGGAGAGGGAGAGGAGGCCCAGCCCCCTCGGGTGAGGCCCAGGAGGAGAGGCTCAGGAGGTCCCGGGAGTTTGCACACTGGGGTCGGTTGGAGCTATAGTCGCGCTCTTGACTGCTCGGATGAATCAATGTTGATGGTTATGAGCTTCTCCTCTTCGGGTACCCTAGTATTGGTCACCGACACTCCCCACATGCAATCCCTGCTTAGCACCCAACATTTATGCTTCATTGCTAATAGTTGAGATTTTTATTCCTTTTAATTCTTGTTGGTTGAATCTGTGTTAGTGTTTGGTAACTTCAAATTAAAATTTCCCAACTCTAATGCTAATCTCGTTGATTGAGTGGTAAAGTTATTCATTAAACTTAGCATGAACATTTATGTTTGTAATGTCTTTATAAACTCACATAAATGATTTCGTCATAAATCAACTTATTCTTTGTTATTATTATAATTATTTTATCTAACCAATACATCATCGTCTTACTATATTATTTCATCCATTAGAATTGATATTACTTAACTACACCATATACCATTTTATTAATATATTATTACCCAGCATTAGATTAAAAGCTATTAAACCAATTCATATGTCATCATTTTATTATGTTACTATATACCTAACCACTTCACATCCATCATTTTTAATGTCGCTACTACCCTAAGTTAGATCCAACTTAATAACCATGTTTTGAACATGATTATCATTATGCTAGATAGTCCATTACTCCCTCAGTCCCAAAATAAGTGACATTTTTTTACTTTTTACACTTCATGTTTGACCATTCGTCTTATTCAATTTGTTGTTTAAATAATAAAATAAATAAGTCAATATTAAAGTATCTCTAATAATAGAATAAGTCATAACAAAATAAATAGTATTTATACAAAATTTTTAAATAAGACTGAACGGTCAAATAAGAAGTCTCGAAGTAAAAAACGTCACTTATTTTGAGACAGAGAGAGTATGACAAATGTTGTATAGGAGTACTATACTTTTTAAACAATATAAACATAACTATGTTTACATGTAAAATGCCTTTCATTTAAAAGTACCAATTCAATATTTATTTGTGCACCAAACAATTATTTAGGAAAATATTATGTCACACAGTTCAAAACAACTATTCTAACATAGACATTTCTTTTCCACCTTGAAGAGAAAGAATTTCACAAAAATAAATAAAGAAAACAAAGGCAAATAATCTGTTCAATTCTCTAGCCTAAAAACGCTGACTAACAGATCAGAAAAATGGGTGCTTCTCCCTCCCTCTATCGTCCCTCGTACTAAAAACAGGATAGGGACATCTCTGTCCCCTCAATGGAATCATCCTGTCCCACAAAACTGGATTGGATCTGTCACATCCTTCCTAGTCGCAAAACCAAACGCAACCTAAGAAGGCTCAGTTGCTCCCTCTACTAGACAAAGTCGCGGACAAACTTCTAGGATATAAGGTGTTGGTGTAAATGGAGCATCTGTAAAGGGTCTTTGTGCAAATAGTTGAATAAAAGGAGAAAGAGAGTGTGCTGGGAGAAGTAGCACACATAGTATTCCCAAAATCAACATAAGGCAACCTTGATGCGTCCCTTTGGACATTTGGTCCTTGTGGAAAGTTGTCCTAACAGCCATCTAAATAGTAAATCTGTCAGCTCATAGCCATAGATATTCCTAAGTGGATCACCAACGTTAAGATCCGATGGGCTTTCCTTTGGAAGAGCAAAACTAACGTGAGGTCATTGTGCTATGGCTTGAAATGTGCTAGGGTTTGCCCATGACAGATCAAAATTTGGTAAATTTTGACCAAAGAATGGAATCCCTTATAACAAATGACTTCAAATTGTGCAGGACCTGTTATACTAAGGAAAGAAATTGGTCACATGCCCAGACAGACAGGTAGTTGACAGATGTTGCTGTGAACTCTGAAGTCATAGCTTGTGCAATCATGAAACTAATTGAAATAGCATACAAGAACAGCTCATGATGTTGACATACGTCATATTTCCCTAGTAGATGTGCAAAGAAGAGTAATTCCCGTCCCCATTATATAGCTTTCACATCCTCTGCAAAGTTCTAGCAGGTGACGATTATGAATACAAAAAATTAACCGTCTGTAAGCCTATCAGGGGATGACTATACTGGCCTCTTAAAATAAAAAATGTAATTACTATAATATCATCAAAAGACTGGGAATTACTGTTGAGATTACTCAACTTCTATGGTTACACAGACATATTTATAACTGAAATCAATTGTAGTTTAGTATGATTAACGAAGGTCAGTAAGGTTTTAAACAAAATACTACTTGCACTCCAGAATAGCTATTGTCTAATGTCCTAGAATATGTGCAGCCAAACTTAGAAATTGGGCTACTAATATGCATATGCATGTATAGAGATATGATATAACTTATTCATTTCATCTAAAGTACTTTCGTATCATTTTGTCTCCAATAATCTTTGGCTCCTCGCCAAGAAATAATATTGGACAAGGACCTGTCTTGGAGATGGTATTGTGTCCAAAACAACACAAATAACAGATCTACTAGTTACTACTTACCAGATATGCCTGTTATGTAGTATGGTTGAGATGACTAATATTAACTCTTTGCCTTAATGCAGTTTCAACAATACAAACGAAAATAATGCCCTATTTAGAATTAGAATACTCCTTGCCTGTATTTAGTCGCTATCCAGTCTGGCCATTCCAGTCTCTAGATGGTGATATCCCTACAAAAAGTTGGCCAGATATAGTTCATAAATTATGTGATGTGGCAAAGGGGATCACTTGAAATGTATATTAAAGCGTAAAAAGATGAATGTTTTAGATCTCCAATTATGGCATTTAGCAGATGGCCTCCAAAATAGCTAATAGCATAGCTAAATGAGGCTATAGAGGGCTATAGCCGCTAAATTGTACATGGACACAAATAGCTTGATATGCCACAAACAACTATAGCGAGCTATAGCGTCAGCTATAGCCGGAGATTTAGAACCTTGAAAAAACATGAATCATGTATAAATATGCTTCCAGAACTTGTGAACAATAATGTTTCCATCAGAGGTCAAATCATAGATGGTACCACAGGAAGTATCATATCAAATTATCAACCAGATGCAACTATTATGATAGACAAACTCTTGAAGAATGAGCCCTTCCAAATGTCATTTGTAACGATAGTTACAACAAATAAGGCAATTTGTGTGTATGGTGTTCTCATAATTGTGCTGTTCTACTTCAGTATACCACTGATGTTCAGGCTTCAGAAATTGTGTGCATGTTATCAAATTGTTTCCAAGCAAAAGTTATCAAATTGTGTGCAGGTTACTAGTAAGTGTTACCAGGCAACTGCAGTTTCACAAGAAAATTTGTATGCGGAAATGACCATGGTATCTTCTGTCAGTAGAGGCTGCCAAAGAACCAAAATAGGAGTAAGCACAACCACCAAGATCATTTGTAATGAACCAACAGAAGTACAAACACTCAAAATGGTCAAAGAAATAGAGAACCAACCTGACTCAAGAGTAAAGGCACAATCCGGTGACACCAAGAGGCAAGCTAATGTGCCAAATCACTGAGACTGCATCACAGCATCTTCTATTGTACTCCTAGTAAACTGAATTCAAGCTGCAGTTTGTAGCTTCTGCTGCCATTAGCTCATGCAGAAGCACAGCAAGTGCTGGACGAACTTACCACCAATTATAAACCGAGGCCATGTTTAGTTACACCAAAATCCAAAATTTAACACTATGCAAAAAGAAGATTTCCCGTCACATCAAACTTACGGTACATGTATGGAGTACTAAATGTTGATGAAATAAAAAACTAATTGCACGGTTTGATTGTACTTTGCGAGACGAACGTTTTGAGCCTAATTAGTGAACGATTCGACAATTATTACCAAATAAAAACAAATCAACTCTGTAGCTACAGTGTTGTTACAGTGTTTCAGACGGGGCAGAGTCGGGCGAACTAAACGCGGCCCAAGAGCTAGGCGCGTAGCAATACAGGATGACATCAATTTTACTGTGGTAGTACACTAGTACAGGTACGGTAGCAATATAAACAGCAGATCACGAAGAGGCATTCTAGATTCAGTGTTTGGATGATGGCCTAGAGACTGAATTCCCTGCAATAGCCTTCAGGGCCTTGGGGAGCAGCAGCATCAAGGTCACAGATGCACCCCCTAAGGCCTAAACGTAACAATTTCCTCGAATTCCAGGAATCCAATTGCGGTGCCATCATCAGTGAGGAACAAATCAATCTATGATTTCGCAGTTTATTTTCATTTTTATTTTCCTGTGGGGAAAACTCATTTCCTATCATCAACATTACAGAAAAGAGGAAACCAACAAATCAATCCACTCCAATCGAATGAAATCAAATCCAACGAGAAATTGGGCCACGAAGCGAGAACTCCTGTTCTATACTGTACAGTGGACGCCTATCTGAACCCCTTCCGGAGCGAGTATCTGGCCGCCTTCGCCGCGGGGCCAGCAGCGACTCCATCCTGCAGTGCTGCCAGTCTCACCACCGCTGGCAGCACCGCATCGGGCTTGGTCAACTCCGTCGCCGCAGCACGCGAAACCTCCTGCCCGAGCGGAGCCTCGGCCCCCGCGACCGCCGAGATCGCCTCAATCAGGTTGGTGATGTCCCGGAGCGGGGCCCGAACCAGCCGCCGCGCCCTGGACGGGCGCTTCTTCACCCCGCAGCTCTTGACAGCGTAGCCGTGCCGCCGAGACGCCGCAGCAGCCGAGGCGGTGGCGTCCCAAGTAGAAGGAGCAGCGTTCTCCTTATCTGCAGAGCCGGCAGCCATCCCGGGTCGCGAGCTCGGGTGCCGGGACCGGGCGGAATCGGGGGCGGGGCGACGAGGCTGGAAGACGCTGGATGTGGGATTGGGGAACGGGGAGTGGCCATGGGTATTTGAGAGATGGAGCCGAGGAAGGAGAAGCCGGGATCCCTTTCAGGATTTGAGTTTTGCGCGCAAATGACTGGAGAGGAGTGGAGGGAGCGGTGGATTTCGGTGTTTTCGTTCCATGCGCAGGCGAATCTGGGGAAAATTTCGCGAAACACTGTTCGGATTTGGAATCGGGGCGCCGGGGGCGGGGGCGGGGGGGGGGCGCGGGGCGGGTGGTTTCGGGTCGGCGGGGATGGGATGGGCGAGGGAGGCGGAGGGAACTTCAAATTTTCTCAGTGACTCAGTCCAAGATATAGTTTTCCAAACGGGCCATCCGGCACGGCACGGGCACGGGCACGGGCACAGACACGGCCAGACACGACCCGGCGAGGCACGGCACTATGCGGCATGGTGGCCCGCCGCGTGCCGTGCCAGATAGTGCCACCGTGTCGAAGTGGTAGCCGAGCCTGTGCACAAGACTAAGTAAACTGTGGTCGTGCCATGCCAAGCAAAGCATGGTGACACGCCAAGATTCGTGCTTGCCGCCTGGGCACTAAACACATTTTAACCAAAGCACTTCATCAGTTCAAGATTAAAGTAACAATCATAATTTGGAATCAAAATTACCAAAAAAAAAAACTAGAGAAACAAAAACAGAGCAAACACACAAGAGTTAAGAAAATAAGAATATGAGAGCATGTGCAATGGCTACCTCAATAAAAACCTGCTAGGTAAAACTCACCCTTGTGAGAAACCCTACTCAGAAAAAGAGTACAGCCTAGCTTCAAAGTTCAAATGTTCAATGTTCTTACATCATTGTCCAAGTTCTCATATTACAGACCCAAGTTTCATCTAAATGTAAAGACTAAAGTAATAAAGATGAATACTAATGCTTCAAAGCTTCAAGCTTCAAGCTCCCAGCTGCCAGCTGCAAAAGAAGAACAGAGTTAGCATTAGGATTACTAATCAGTTAGCAAAAGAAGAGGAAGTTAGGAACTTAGGGGTATGATTTACCTTGGCAGCGGGAGCACTAATCAAGATAGAGGTTTTCAAATGCTTCTTCAAGCTTCTTGTCCTCCACATTGTGCTGTAGCCTTGCCTCCGCCAACTCCCAGTCCTTATGCAGGTGAGCCACTCCACCGTCTCCGGCTTCAGCCTCCTCCGCCGCTCCTCGATGATCCTGCCAGTCATACTAAAGGTAGATTCTGAAGATATGGTAGAGACAGGAACAGTTAAAACATCCTTGTCATGATGGACAGCACTGGATATGTCAGTTTGTGCTCATGCCACCATCTCAAGATGTCAAATGAATCATCCAACTGGCTAACAGTATCACAGTCTAAGTATGAGACAAGTTCAGAAGCATTAGAAGCTGTAGAAGTAGCAGCATGCAGCAAAGCAGTAGTAGATATATCTCTAGACAGATTAAGAATAGAATGCAGCAGTGAAGTACCCCCACTAGAAGAACTAGCCTCCACCGTGTCATAAGAGACAGAGGGAGGCCGGGACGGCATCCTCACTTGCCCTGGCCTCAAACGTCTGCCAAAAAAGAAGAAGGAAGAACATGAACATCAGTCAAGAACTCAAGATTCAAGAAAAGAAATCAAGAACGGAGCAGATAGGAGCTAGGGTTAGGGTTAGGCTTCGGAGCTAGGGTTAGGGGGTGTCTTACCTAGACGTCGCCGGGCGACGAAGAGGGCGTGAGCCGGAGCTCCTAGCAAAGCAGCCGGATCCATGGATCTCTGAAGAAGAGGGAGTGAGTCAGTGACAGTGAGAGAAAGAAGAAGAAGAGCAGAAGGGGATGTTACCTGCATCGTCGGAGCTCCAGAGCTGCGGCTGCCGGAGGACGAGAAGAGGAGGCGGGGTCCGCGGGGACGACGGCGAGTCGCCGTCGCCCTTGGGAGGGGTCGTTGCCCTTCGCCACCGTCGTCGGAGAGGGCGAGAGCCAGAGAGGAGAGGAGGGAGAGCGTTGGCCAGCGAGACTGCGAGAGCCGAGAGGATGAAATGATTTAGGGTTTGTGTGGGTGGGGAGCGGGGGAGGCCGGCCGGCTTATATACGCGGCAACGCCGTTGCCCTGGATCCAACGACCATAATCCATCAGGGGGGATCGGACGGCTGAGTTCCCTAGATAGTGGGCCGTTAGCGGGCCAGGCCACTTTATCTTGTTGTGTGTTCGTGGCCGCCCATGGGCCAAATTGGTAGCCTGCACGGGCATCGGGCGGATGTGCAAGCAATGCACTGCTGCAGGTCGCCGGGCGGGCCGGTGCGTGCTTTGGGGCCGTGCTTTCTCGAAGTCGTGCTCGCTTGCCGCCCATCGTGCCCGGCCCATCTGGAAAACTTTAGTCCAAGACCACGGCATGTTTGGTAGGAGGCCAGGGCATTTTGTCTCGCAAAAACCGACTCTGAAGTTGTCTGGAAAATCGATATTTTTTACGTAGCCAGGCAAGTATAAAGAAGATGTGTTTGATCGGTACCATTGACCTGAGAAGCTATATGATGATTAAACAATACGAGGATAATGTAACTTTAACACTTATGATTAAATAATATAAGGATAAATAAAATTTTTAAATAAGAAATAAGATATATAAATAATCATAATCTAGATTGGAAAATAAACTTTAATTTGATGAACAATAAAAAATCTTTTCCATGCGTTGGTGAACAGTAACATGGCTATAATTTTTAAACAGCAACTTGCACGTTATTTGTGGGCACTAAAAAATAGGACAGAAGTTAATTATTAGTACAAAATATGCACAATAGCTAATTAACTTGAATTAACTTTGATGCTTTACATAGCCACGCAGGTTTGCTAGTGCCAGGCGCTCGTTTTTGTTTTTGGAGGCCCGGGACTGCCCTCCGATGCCTGGAGCAGGCAGGTGGCCAGGTCTACATCCAAATGAATCCCAGGCAAGACACAGGCAGCCATCCACCCAGGAAGATGGACTCCAGGGCACCATCCAAACATCCCCCAAGAGCATGAGCATGTGACGGTGGTGTGAGCGCGTAGTGCGCGCGGCCGTTTCGTGACGTTGAGCTGGCGTGCTGCTGCCACCGTGACTCCGTGAGGGTGTTCAAACCACGCTAGGCTCACCACACGTGGGCCCTTTCACCCCTATAAAATGCACTGGCCTATTTGGAATAGCTCCACCCCTAAAAAAGTAAATCTGGATCTGAGATTCACCGTGGGACAGCTCCACTAGTTAATCTGAGATCCACCGTGTAACCGTTTGGCTATAGAACCAGCTCTGGCTATAGAACCAGCTCTGGATCCACGTAAGGGTATTTTGTTTCGAATCGCCTGATTTGCCCTTGAGACAAAGGGCTCACGTGTTAGGAGGCTAAACGAAAAAAATCTTCTGTCGTCGTTCCCGAGTCCGAGAGTGGCAATGTGACCGGCGAACGGGCGAGACGCAGCGCGACCGGGGAACGGGCGAGACACGACGCGACCGGGGAACGGGCAAGCCCTCTGGATCGATGGGGAGGGCGCTCCTCAAGAATGGATCCTCCATGAGATAGGCAATAGCAAAGGAGGACGACGAGCGCTCGATTCCTTCGGTGTGGCCGGCGCCACCACTAACTGCCTTGAGGCACAGCTGCAACTTGGCGTAGACGCGGAGGAAGAGCTCGAAGCTAGTGTCTTGGTGTAGCTTCTCATCGGTGCTCGCAGACGGGGCACATAGGAGGGTCGCGGTGGCTGGGATGGGGCCGGTGGCTTCTCGTCGGCGCTCGCAGAGTAGGGGCTAGTGGGCCGAGCGAGCGAGCGGCCTCACGCGGGGAAGGTGCGTGCGGTGGCCGGGTGGGCACGGCCTCGCCTCACAGGGGAGGGCGCGGGGCTGGGTGGGCGTGGCCTCGCCGGGGAGGTGGCGGCACTGGGTGGAGGTGCGCCGGTGGCCGGAGGCGGCGTGGGAGCTTGAGGCACAGTGATTTTTTCCCCTCGGTCGGTCGAGCCGAGAAGAGAAGGAGAATAGAAATGAAACGGGTACGTAGGGTGTGTAACCAGTGGCAATGGTGGATAATTTTTCTCAACTCTACCAATTTAAGTTTGGTAAAGCACCCCTTAAGGAGATCCACCATTTTGGTGAATCTGGCCCTCGATCCACTAATTTGGTGGATTTGAATTTGGTGGAGCTAGATTGGTTGGCAAACTTTGTGTGGAATGGAGCTATTTTTGCTGAATCTAGAGTTGGGGGAGCTGTCCCAAGCCGGCCCGCACATGCCCTCCCCCTTTCAAAGAAAAAATAAACACATGCTCTCTCGTCCCAAAATGATAACTGTATTTTAATCATGAAGAAGTCAAACAAAATAGATTTGACCAATTATTATCATACTATATATTTTCATTTGTTAAAGGAACAGTATAATTTCAAAGGCACTTTGAATACAAATTCATTACTACAAGTTTCATGTTCAAAATTTATATAATTTGAATAAATGTGGTCAAAATTTATATATAAGTTAATTTTCCCATTGTTTGAATATTATTATTATTTTGGGATAGCAAAGATCTTCGAAATACTGAACCGGTAAGTTTTAAGATAAATTTGTTTTGCACATGAGCTATATCAAAGAATTGTCAAAGGCTTGTTGCTTTAGTGCTTAATTTTGATCAAACAAAGGTTGTTATGGGAGGCTTTCATGTCATCAAAGGGGTATTGCTTCGTGCTGGTTGCTACAGAATGCTTTACAAAAGACGTTGCAAGGTGATCGTTCATCAAGAGAGGCCCAAGTGATACCCAAGCAATGGTAGATATACTCGTATTGCCCTTAGAACAACATGGCCGATGTATATATCGTCCTTATATGCTAAGTAGTCGATGAGTTGGACATCATTGCTATTTAGTGCTTTTATGTTTCTTGGTTCGCATAAACCTCACCTGAAAACAGGGGGCATGTGTTGACAATCAAAATTGTC